TATATATATATATATATATATATATATACACATAGATAGATAGATAGATAGATAGAGAGAGAGAGAGAGAGAGAGTGAGAGAGAGACATAATATATATAGATAAAAATAGCGTTATGGATACAACTTCTTTGAATAAATTCCTTGTTTTAATTAAACAGTAATAATTACATTTACCGGTTTGAATATTCGAGAAATCTCGTAAAATTATGCGTTCTCCGACAGGAATCGAAATTGTATCCTATAGAGAACTCGTCATTTAGACTAACGTTCTGTTAACCGATTCGGCCACAGAGAACTTCCGGTTTACCGAAGTCAAAATTATTACTTAAATACACACATTCCTTTTTTTCTATAATCATTTCTACTCCGAAACGCAACTTAACATAATCAATGACAACAACGTAATGGATTAAATCGGAGAAATGTTAAAGATATTTTCTTTTTATACGTTATTTTTATGTATAAAATTTATTTGAGAATATGCTCTGTTTTAACATATATCAATATATATATATATATATATATATATATATATATATATATTGACAATTTAATATCATAACGTTAATATCCTGGTTTAATTTTATAAAACCTCTTCCCCTTAAGAGAAATACCTTTTAATCTCCCCTGAAAACTGTCTCGTGCCTTTCGTCTGACTGAAACATTGAAATGGATAAATTCTTTATTAGTTTTTTATATTTTTTTGTTTGTTTATTTGTTTTTATGTGTCTGTAATAATAAATACATTGACCTCTTTTTGTGTATCAGTTTTGTGGATAATATTTTTTATTACTAGTATCCACTTGGATTATATACCAACGGATTTACCTTTACTATATATATATATATATATATATATATATATATATATATATATAGAGAGAGAGAGAGAGAGAGAGAATCGGATTTGTTAAAACACCTAATGTTTATACGTATTTATATGTAATATATATAGTACATGTATTTTGACAGAAAAATATTAAACAATTACAATTGTTTAATTTACATGTGGATTTACAGAAAAATTGTTTCACTTTAACCAGTTTCGCTGTTAGCTTTTGAAAAAGGTTATAAACGTTTATATTCCCACGTGTTGACGCTTTTGTCATGAACAAAGAAAATATCAAGGGGCGTAACTGTTTTTTACGTCGCTTATGGTAAGGAAAATATGATAAAATCTGGTTTATGCAATGAATTAAGTATTGGTTTAAACTTGATAATAAAGGTGTCTATTAACACGCATTTGTTCGGTGATTTGTAGTCGCAATGGTAGAATGGGACGGTATCTCTTGAAATATGTTGAAACACATTGATTTCTGTAGGCGCAGATGTTTGAATGTATAGCTGTAGTATGGATAAGAACATTCCTGTTTGCTTGGTTGAAAGTTTATCTTATATAGTTTATATTGTTCATATATATCCTGTATGTATGTTTATATTATTATTTTTTGTTACGGGTCAACATGAAAGTATATGTAATTCCGTTATTCATATGTATGTATATGGGTGTATATCTTATGTAAGTCTATAATGAGTGTAGGTAGACAATCCGGACATATTAAAAATAACATATAATTATAGTTAAATTCCCAGATCAATTCTGTGGACACGACAGAGTGATATAAAATGACAATTGGAAAAAAATCTTAGATTTTGACGACGCGTTTCGTTTTCCAACATTTTCAAAGCAAAAATGAAATCGAAATATTTTTGTTGATATAGTTACATTAAAAAATCCAAATTTAAAAAGATAGACGCTTCTGTCTAAGCCTTTTTCTGGTTAATGTAAATTACCTTTATAGTAATGGATTTTTTTATATCAATCTGTCTTGTCCACCGAATTGATCTGGGAATTTAAATATATTGTCGACATGGAAACTGATGGTGGTGATATGTATAAAATTAGAAAAAAGGGTCTATGTGTGCTTCTTATAGTATGTAAAATAGATTTGTTTAATAAAACAAGGACAAACAAAAGTCTATTAATGTAATCAGTACGAAAAACATTTATTAAATATTAATTATTAACCATATGACAGAATTGAATCACGCAAAGAAAGGTTTTAAGTTCGGAATTTTCGGACACGCCTGTTTCTTCATCAACGGAGCGAGATATAGACAGAGAAATGGGAACTTAAATTTAAAATCTTGAGCGGTTAATATATATATATATATATATATATATATATATATATATATATATATATATATATTACATGTTCCTACAGACATCAATTGTTAATTGTAAGATTTTTTTTTGGGGGGAGCGTAAGGTTGAATTTTTAAATTTTAATATTTGTATTTTTGTACTAATATGGTCACATAGACAGAAAAACCTACCTGTATAAAAGAATTCCCCTTATTACCATATTAGTACAAAAAAGCACAATATTTAAAAATTCAACCTCAGCGTTGCGACTGCACGCTCCAAAAAAATTCTTACAGTTAACAATAACACATTTCTTAAAACATATTTCGGATTCCATCTATATTTTCGTTGTCCTGTTATTACCAAGAAGTAAAAAACAAAAACAAATCTATTTCCAGATTTGATTTTTTTGATAAAAATTGCCTGTTACCGTAAGTTTGAAACTAAGGTAGCTGATTCAACTAAAGTCCCGATATATATATATATATATATATATATATATATATATAGAGAGAGAGAGAGAGAGAGAGAGAGGGAGAGAGAGAGAGGCGAGGGGAGAGAGAGGGAGAGAGAGAGAGAGAGAGAGGGAGAGAGCGAGGGTGAGAGAGAGAGAGAGAGAGAGCGAGGGAGAGAGAGGTTTAGTTTTTTGTTATTTGTCTATAAGCTTTCTTCGAAAGCATTTTAATCAGCATTAATAAAAAATTGTTCAAATATACGCAACACGCACAAACACATAGACACGCGCACAAACGAACACATACACTTACGCGGACACACACACACATATATATATATATGTGTGTGTGTGTGTGTATGTATGTGCGTGTTTGGTCAGTAGCCCCTCTTTAATAGATGCTTCGTTGATCAAGACTGACTGAGATGTATCTGCAATATTATAATTCCCTGACCTGGTACCTCGGCTTCAGTCAATTTCCTATCGGCATAACGTAGTTTCCCCTCAGCCTTGTCTATAAATACTTTCATTGTAATTGTTCGGATGGCCTTTACTCTTTGATTCCCAGACCTTACGAAATGCAGCTCCAGTCGTCATCTGCCTCCTTAAATCTTGATTTTGTTGTCTTTTCTCTTCAGTAACGTTTTATCAGTTTCCTTTTAATGTCTTTCCTCCTCAGTAACCGGTTGCATCTTAGTGGCTTTATTACCATGCTTAGTATCAAATTATTTTAAAAAAAGTACTTATCTTCGGTTTTGTTTTTATTATATATATATATTTCATTCTTACAAATGTTCTCTTTCTTTCTTCTTTTTCCATGTGTTTTCAACATATGTGCGAACATGATTCTCCACTATTTCCACCCTTTTGTAGTTCTTAATTTTAATGAGTATAAATATTGTTGATTCTGAGTGACTTCAGTTACAAATCGAGTAATTTTCAAGGGTTCTTGTGTTAAACTACTGAAAATCAATGGTAAGGGCTATTATATATATATATATATATATATATATATATATATATGAAGAAATATAGTTTTAAATTGTGCTATATTTGTAGGATAATGTGCTCAATATCAGATAGAGCGTATGTAAATATAAATATAAAAGTAAACACTGAAGACAAGACTCAGAGGCGACAAGCTGTTCCAAGATGGACGCAATCGACGGCCTGAAGATTGCATCCAGCATAAAACAGACTATCACATTTGAGTGCTCACTTCAATGTTTGCTTATATATATATATATATTGTGTCAGGGTGAAGAATGATGCTAACTAGAATTTAAAAAGGCATTTTGTGTGTCAGAATATGCCAGAATACACGAAAAAAGAGTATGCATTTTCGAGAAAATTCCAGAAGATTGGGACATGGCAAAAAAAACTCCAAAAGAAAGGCGGTCTGCACAGGGCAAACGGATCTGGACGAGCACTCGCATCAGAAAGTGTCTGCGCAGGGAACAGGGATCTAGATGACCACTCGCATCGGAAGGTGTCTGCCCAGGCTAAAAGAATCTGGATGAACACTCGTATCGGAAAGTGTCTGCAATCGCCAAAGAAAACATAATGACCACTCGCATGGAAATGTGTCTGCGCAATGAAAAGGGATCTGGACGACCACTCGCATCGGAAGGTGATTGCGCAGGGAACAGGGATCTAGATGACCACTCGCATCGGAAGGTGATTGCGCAGGGAACAGGGATCTGGACGACCACTCGCATCGGAAGGTGATTGCGCAGGGAACAGGGGATCTGGACGACCACTCGCATCGGAAGGTGATTGCGCAGGGAACAGGGATCTAGATGACCACTCGCATCGGAAGGTGGCTTCGCAGGGAACAGGGATCTAGATGACCACTCGCATCGGAAGGTGTCTGCCCAGGCTAAAAGAATCTGGATGAACACTCGTATCGGAAAGTGTCTGCAATCGCTAAAAGAAAACATAATGACCACTCGCATGGAAATGTGTCTGCGCAATGAAAAGGGATCTGGACGACCACTCGCATCGGAAGGTGATTGCGCAGGGAACAGGGATCTGGACGACCACTCGCATCGGAAGGTGATTGCGCAGGGACAGGATCTAGATGACCACTCGCATCGGAAGGTGGCTTCGCAGGAACAGGGATCTAGATGACCCACTCGCATCGGAAGGTGTCTGCCCAGGCTAAAAGAATCTGGATGAACACTCGTATCGGAAAGTGTCTGCAATCGCTAAAGAAAACATAATGACCACTCGCATCGAAATGTGTCTGCGCAATGAAAAGGGATCTGGACGACCACTCGCATTGGAAGGTGATTGCGCAGGGAACAGGGATCTAGATGACCACTCGCATCGGAAGGTGGCTTCGCAGGGGAACAGGGATCTAGATGACCATTCGCATCGGAAGGTGTCTGCCCAGGCTAAAAGAATCTGGATGAACACTCGTATCGGAAAGTGTCTGCAATCGCTAAAAAAACATAATGACCACTCGCATGGAAATGTGTCTGCGCAATGAAAAGGGATCTGGACGACCACTCGCATCGGAAGGTGATTGCGCAGGGAACAGGGATCTGGACGACCACTCGCATCGGAAGGTGATTGCGCAGGGAACAGGGATCTAGATGACCACTCGCATCGGAAGGTGGCTTCGCAGGGAACAGGGATCTAGATGACCACTCGCATCGGAAGGTGTCTGCCCAGGCTAAAAGAATCTGGATGAACACTCGTATCGGAAAGTGTCTGCAATCGCTAAAGAAAACATAATGACCACTCGCATCGAAATGTGTCTGCGCAATGAAAAGGGATCTGGACGACCACTCGCATCGGAAGGTGATTGCGCAGGGAACAGGGATCTAGATGACCACTCGCATCGGAAGGTGGCTTCGCAGGGAACAGGGATATAGATGACCATTCGCATCGGAAGGTGTCTGCCCAGGCTAAAAGAATCTGGATGAACACTCGTATCGGAAAGTGTCTGCAATCGCTAAAGAAAACATAATGACCACTCGCATCGAAATGTGTCTGCGCAATGAAAAGGGATCTGGACGACCACTCGCATCGGAAGGTGATTGCGCAGGGAACGGGATCTAGATGACCACTCGCATCGGAAGGTGATTGCGCAGGGAACAGGGATCTGGACGACCACTCGCATCGGAAGGTGATTGCGCAGGGAACAGGGATCTGGACGACCACTCGCAT